GTGTTAAAGCAATTGCAATACTCTCTCTCTCTCTCTTTCTCTATCTCTCTGTCCCTCTCTCTCTTTTCCCCTTTGCAAACTGTTATTGTACGAACAAGTTTAGACATCTAGTTATTGTTAAAAAATAAGAAGAAGAAGAAGAAACAAAAAAAACCTCAGAAATCGTGACTGGTCCTTTCTTCCGGGCCAAGCATTATAAGAACCTAGGAGCCATTTTGTCAGCCCCTCCACAGCAGCCAGGGGGTGGGGCTCCTGTCAAGGGGCAGGGCTACCCATGCAGCCTTTGACCGCTTGCCAAAACTCGTTAAGCGGCCCTCCAGACAAAATAATTGCCGCCCTTGGGTTAACTGGTTAAGAGAGGTATAAGCTTCTGTAGGTAACAAACTACTTTGTCAGATGCTTCATCAGAAGATCACAATGCTCAACACAGGCTTCAGCTTCAACAGGAATACCCATATAACACTTCTATGGGAGAGTTACTCTATTAGTTTATGAACAGGAAACTAGACTTATGTTTAGCAGAACTAGCAAAGCATTTTTAACACTAACTCCTGCTCAGCACTCTTCAATCACTCACTCAAGTTTTATCATGAGTGAATTGAACTCTAGACTGAATTCAAGCTAAAAACATATCACAGTATCAATGGAGTGCCACAAGGAAGGTGTGAGGGTGCTCATGTCTTCTTTGTGTTCATGTCCTTGTAATTTGTCATTTCCACATATCAGTGCTTTGTGTGCATTAGGGGCACAGTGGTGTCATACTGATATGGCTTGAAGCCAATGAGTGACTTAATACTCAGAGAAAGTTCTGATTCACAAAAAAGAGACAGAGACACACTGCAGAGCCATATTCAGGTGCTGATATGCCAATAAACATGACATTTTTTACTTCAGGAGCACTTTGAAGAAAACTTGCCAATATATGCAATTTCTTGCAAACTTACCACAGGAGTACTATGCTAAAGAGATCAGATAAATGTCAAATTTGATACAACAGTGGCAAAGAAAAAAAATGCAGGTGGGAATATGCTGTGGTATGCAACAGAGTAGAGAAACATGTACTGAAATGCTTGAAACAACCACTGCATATGAAATTTAGGCAATCATAGTGAGCTACCTTAAATGGCATTCTAAGCATGTCCTGACACCAAAAAAAAAGATGGAACAAAAATCTGCAATACAGAGCTTCTTTTCCAATGACAATCAAGTGAGAGCTGATTTTTACAATCAGAAGGCAAAGTGCACCCTCTGGAAGGGATGGTACCCAGCATTCAATTGCAAGCCTCAAATATGTTTCATGAACCATTCTTAAACATTTGTATTCCATCAGTCTCACATTAAGGAACCAAGATCAAGAATAAGAGTCTTGTATAGAAAGTCACTTTACAGAAATTATAATATTACTATCATCAGAATAATTATAGAAACTGTAATTACAGCTGATCTAAAGTTTTTCAGGTTTCAGAAAAGACTAATTAAATTTCACTAAAAGATTAATAAACGGATTTGTGATTTTTTTTTGTCTGTCTTTTTCAACCAGCTATATTACTAATAAAATTAACAACCAGCTTCTATAGTACTGAAAATCATACATTTTAGTGAAAATGATATGAAATATTACACAGTTAATTTTACAGATTAATGTGCAAGGAGCCATGCAAACCAACTCATCACATTAGTGTAACTTTTTACATCTTGTTATCAAAGGAAGGAAAAGATGCACCTTTACACTCTGTACAGCAAAATGCAACTATAGAATTTTGTGTATGTAGAAGACACTAAGCATGTACAGCTGTCTTTTTAATTCGTAGTAGGAAAATTATAGGTAATATCAGAAAAAAGAGATTTTGCTATTCTCATTTAACTTTCATTCGGCCACAGGGTAACTTAAATGACTTACCTTGAAGTAGAGCAGCAATTTGGAGTGATTGCTGAGATGGATGTTCTTTAAGAATATCTAAAACTGTTCTACCTAAACTGTCCTTTATGTAGGCATCAATTCCTGAAAGAGAAAATTATTGTGTTCTATTGAAAGCGAAGCAGTTAAGCCCAAGTATTGCAAACTATAAATGTAGTACATTAAGCTCAACTGTCTTGTAAATTGGTTACAAGCAGTTTTACAAGTGTAATGGAACAAACCACTCTGCTACAGGTAATTTTCAGTACTGCTTTCTGGTACACAAATCAACACATTGTTCTAATATTTCTGGGCACAATTAGACTGTAATCCTCTCCAAATTGATCTTATTCACTTGGGATTTAGGTAGCTGGTGCATTGTACCTGTGCCCTTTTTTTTGGAAGCAATGCGGAAAAAGCTATTAACTTTGGAACTTCAGGTCAGCATGTGCCAAAGTCATGCAACCAACTGAAATACTCATGTGCACCATGACTAGGGTTGCACTAGCAGCCAGACAGTTTCCAGGTAGAACGTTGCTACAGTAATTGGGTGGCTCAAGTAACTGTGCTATGGCTACTGAAAGTCAGTGATAGTTATGACCTGCAAGTTTGAACTCTGTCCTTGGTATGTCAGATAAAGTGTACTGTACATGTTTCTTGTTCTTTCCAGAGTATCATTTTTTAAAGTTTTGCAGTGAAACCAAAGTTTCTAGGTTCAAAAGTACAGTAAAATCCATGTACAGGCTGTGATTTTACTTAAGGTATAACGTCACTGAAATTAACCCTGATTAAACAGTAAAATGAAAGTCTAGGAGACAATTATAGTAATGTTATTCATGACTCAAAATAAGTTTATTTATTCAATAATGAAAATGAATATGATCAAAGGAAAGCAAGTCAGTGGGTCATCAGATCAGTGGGTTTGGATATACAGCCTCACTCAAATGAATTGCTGATAAAAATGTTTACTTTTTTATAAGTTTTATTGGGAAGAGTTATGAAATATAGGTAGTTAAAACAATTACTGTATTTACTCAAATGTAAAACAAGGTTTTTGCCGCCCAATCAGCATGGGAAAAAAAGCTCCTCATCTTACATTCACATACAAGGAAATCTCATTAAATACAATGTTAATAAATGGCTGCCAAAAGCAGCATGTGCTCAGTAATGGAAACCAACTATGAAGTTGATTAAATGCAGCCAACATTGAGCACGACTATAAAACACATGGCCCATATTGGGCAAATATACCGATGGAAACCCTATCTTTTTTTCTTTCTTTTTTTTTTTTTTGTGTGGGGCCCTTGAAAAAAATGGGCAGTGCTCCCCCAGAAGAAAATGAGCACCAGGCCTGGAGGTACCGTAATACCAGGCTGGGATTCAGAGAAGCCAGAGAAAGCTCCAACATGTCCCCCCCCTCCTCCCCCCAGGTGCCAAAAATGCTGATGGAAACCTACTGCAATTATATTTATGAAAATTCTTTGTGTACCGGGTCAAATTAGCCAGATCAGTTTCAAAATCTTTGAATCATTCACAAGCCTTATTACTGGAAAGTATCCTTCACCCCAGATTTTTCAACCTTGGGCTTCAGATACTTCCAAATCCTTTGGCAGGATGGAAACCTACCCTTTTTTTAAAGGAAAAAAATTGTTACCAAAGACCCATCACATCCTTGCCAAGTTTTTAATCAATTCAGGGATCATCCCCCCTAATATTAAACTAACACCCACTTCCTTCATTTCCATACTCGTCTTGTTATAGCCAACAACATGATGGGGTGCAGAGGTAAGAGAGATGTTTCCAGTGTACAGCTCCATCTTTCAAAATGATGCCTTCAGGCCAAGGTATGAGCCATAATCTGAAAGATAATGTCCCCTTGGAGATATCTGAGCTCAACAACCTGTTCCCATCTGTAAGGCAGGATCTGGGAAATTTCCCCTGCTAGCAGATGATGGAGGACCTCTCCTTGCCCACAACCTGTACGCCCAAATTTAGCAGGGATACTTCTGGAGGGGCTAAGATCCACTTTCTCTCTCCCCTGTGTATATGAGCTAATATATAATATGTCTTGTTCAGCTGGGGACATATAAGCCCATAAAATTATTACTTTGATTTACCTAAACTTCCTTGCCTTGAGGTGTCTTAGGAAACCAGTGTTCTTGGGACAACGCCACAATTGAGGGATGCTGGATATAAAAAAAGGTTTTCACCTAAGCATATAATTCCTTTTATCTCCTCGTCTCCTACCCACTTTGAAGGGTGAAGAACCTATCTTAGGATCTACCATATGCCTGGACAAGTGATCGCTTCCTACCCTTGAAGCAGAAGACCCAGCTTATTGTACAAGAAGACTGCCCTTGGCAACTGAACACCAGCATGTGACTAGAAACTTTCAGAGCACCTTATGGCCTATTACATGCTCAACTTTGTTCTCTAGAAGTTGGCAAACCTCTAATATGTAAAGATAATGTCATCAAAATGTCTCAGCATACATACCATCTCTGTCTGTTGTCAACCTAAGCATCTGGGTTGGAACAGAAGACTGAAGAGAAAAGGCACTTTTTGAAATGAAGGACATTTCTTAGTCTAAAACAACAAATATAATGTAATTAGGTTTACCTGTTTCTAGCAAAATACGTACTACATCCACCTTTCCAAATAAAGCAGCTTCATGTAGCGCACTTCCCTTTTCTGTCTGGAAAAGAGCATTATGAGAGCATTAAAACAGTAAAATAAAATACCAAGGAATCCTTTCAAAAACAATATATTTGGATAAAAAATATTTACTTCTTGCTCTCTTTTATCTTAATTAAAACCATTGACTGGGCAAGAACAATTCCCAATAATATTTATTTAAATAATCCATTGCTTCAAGGTTAAAGCACAATGAAATGGAGGCACTCTTATTGAAAAAATAGCTAACAACCAAACATAAGATACAGTATATGTAGGCCCTGATCCTCCAGTTCTGTCTTACATAAAATCCCTGGTGAAGACAATGAATAAAATTGAATAAAATTTGCAGCACTGGCAACAAAAAGTAGAGAAAGCAAATAGATCTCTGTTTTAGGATTGTCTACTGCTGCTCATCATCAAAGTCATCAAGTTCCTTTGATATAAAATTTACAGCTATAGTAAAAACTCTAATGAACTTCCTGGAACCTTTGGCTCCTCTCCCTTTTGAGGTAAAAACTTGGGGTTTGTTTTAGTTTTCCTTGTGCTTTATTTTGATTAGTTAGTTAAGGGATTATTTTGTTTCAGTTTTGCTTCCTCTGAGCAGTGCATTTGGGTAGATGGGAGTCAGTGTTGTGCATACGATTCTTGCTATGATGGAAAAAATACCTTTACCCTGTGAAACAAAAGAATAAGTTTTGTCATTCCTGTATTTTCAGAAAGTTACTGTCTTGCAGTAACATAAATCATATACCTTTCTGGTGCAACATGGCATGCAACACAACATTAAGTATTACACAGTTCTTCAGGAGCAAAAAGTATAGTTCCAAATAAATGTTGGTAACTGAAAATAGCTGCTGTATTTCGTTTCTGCATTACTGTACTTGAGATAAGCCAGAATTCTTAAGTGCAGTGCTTTAGCATTCATAACTGATCTGCAAATATACTAACATATTTTTATTTTCTGTACTATAGCAAATAAATTCAAGACTTATGATCAGTTTTCTCTATCTTACTCCCAGCAGGATTTTGTGCCCTTTAGGAATATGTTCCCTATAAAGTAAGTGTTCTTAGTGTGACTAGAAATCCTCCTAAAAGGACATTTATTGTGATGGATGCCAACCATATTTCATAGGGACAATAGAATATATTCTGCTCTCCTCTGTGCTAATGAAATATGGAACAATTCCAATAAGTACCATTTTCTACATAGCATAATTAGGCTTGAGGCCCCCTTGTAACAGGCATACAGTAAAAGACAGCACCTAGATTCAATAAAAACAGGCCACACCTGAAAGAGGGACACTGAAACAATCAAAGAGAAGAGGTGAGGAAAGTTACAGGTAATAACATTAAGGAATACAAGGACATATAAATCAGCTGTGTGTACAATTTGCAGGCTTAATTGCAAGGGCTGTGCTTCAGCAAAGCTTTGGTCCCTGATTCAATTTGGCTTGATTCAGTGGCTGAATTTCCAAATCCAAACTGAATCAGCAGACCCTTTAATTTCCCTGAACCCTCCAAATTGATTTGGAAAGATTCGGTGATTCAGACATAGACACAGCTTTAAACATTTTTTCTACATACCTCTAGGTACCAGTGCGGTGGATGGAGCATCCCACAGGAGCATGGGGGGAGCGGGGGTCCCCAGTACGCTTGGTTGCAGACCTAGAAGTGGATCAAAAGCACTTCCGGTCCACTTCTGGGTCCACCAGGGAGTGTGCCGGGGAGTCTTCCCTCGCCCACCATGCTCCTCCAGCTTGACAACTGGTGCCTCCTGGGTCTGGGGGGGCACCCAGGATCCCCCCACAGCCAATCGCTGAGTTGGGAGGGGGCACAGGGAGGCCCCCAGCACACTCAGAGGAGGACCCAGAAGTGGACCTGAAGTACTTCTGGTCCACTTCCAGTTCGCTGCTGAGCACACAGGAGGCCCCCCACACTCCCATGGGATGCCACATCTGCCCCAGAATTGCAGCGTTCATGAGCCATGCCTAGTACCTTAAGGTATATAGAAAAAACATTTAAAGCTGTGTCTATGGACAAATTGCTGATTCTCCAAATCAGCATTGAATCTTCAGATTTGGATTCGGCTGAATCAAACCAGGGACAGAGATCCAAATCAACAAATCGAATCAGTCCCCAATTCGGGCCAAATCTGAATCTGAATCGAATATGGCCTGTTTCACACACCCCTATTAACTGCAAGCTTTTGAAGTTGTTGTTATTATTATTTAATATATAAGGAAACAAGACTTTTTAATTAATCTCTAAACAGGCCACTGGTCTAGCCTTATCAGTATGGAGTTTACTATTTGACCTCATAATAAATGTGAGTTTCAGGAGGTGAACTGAAAGGAAGGGTACTAGCTTTGCAAATTGATTCAGGAAATGGGCCCCACAAATACATGACAGAAAAAGGAAAATGTTTGGGGAAAAAATAGACTCACCAGCTGGAAGCATCACTGTTAAGAAAACAGGTTGGGGGGATGTCAACACAGGGTTAGATTAAATTTTGGATAAACAGAGGGCTAAATTGTTACAGGTCTTTACAACTATACAAGTAGCTCCTACATTAAGACACTGAACTGTACATGAACTTATTTTTTATTAAGGGCCCAAAGTCTATCACTCACCAAAACCTGTGCATTTTTCATATGTTTCAATTAAAATGAAAACTTCAAAGCATAAACAGGTGAAGCTGATTTGTACTGCCCACTTCTAAATAATTTCAGACTGAAAGATATTGGATAGACCTGGGAAATGAATAAAATGTGTGATTAATTCAATCAAAAGTTAAGTGTTGCCTATTACTAGTCCAAATATTTGCTATGATTAAAAATGCTCAGTATTAAAGCGAAAAAGTGGCTAAAATAAACCTTCCATTTAAACAAATAAATGTTTACAATTACAATGGAGATTGTAGATACTTCTATAATTGTCTCTCTACATTCTGGGAGTTCTTTATTGCTGATAAAAATGAATTTGTATAAAGCCTATGAATGTGTACAATTTAATTTACCACATGGGATTATACTTTTGCATTGTTCTTTCCCAATCAGTGATGCAGAGCAATTTAATGAATATTAAAACAGATGAGTTCAGTTTTAAGTAATAGACAGATACGGTATGCTCTGTTCAGTTTAATGAACTGACAGTAATCATCAACAAAGAAGTTTTCAGAGGTTATAGAAGTAATAAGTTAAAAATTCAGATAAAGCTTACTTGGCAGTGTACCAAGATGCACATGGAAGGGAACTCACTGATGGAGAAGATGAATAGTGTTGGTAAAATAAATAATAATGAACCGCAGGGCAATCACAGTAGAAACCGAAGTTAAAAGAAATAAAAGGCTAACATCAAAACTGATTAGAAAAGTTAGGGCAATTTACAAGGCAATTCTAATTTTGTTATATAAATGGCAAACAGCGTGCCATTATACAACAGTGAATATTTTCCATTCCTCATTAAAACTAGGTAAGCTACCATATCATGATTAGAGGACAAACTGCATTTAAAAAGTATAGTGAATAAACCATAGTGATACTGCATATAAAACTGGTTTAGGAAAAGTCAAAGCAGATGCAAAATGATAAAGATTACATAGGAATGAGCACAAATTGTATAGTGATGTTGGATAACATTCATCCCTCAGTATAGCACCATGATGATTTTCAGTGGAATACACTGTTTTCTATTCAAATCGTTGTCAGTGCAGATTTCTTGTTTTTCCCCTACTGATTTGCTGAAGGTGTAACAGCAGCTATAAAAAGTATTTTGGAGAAATTTGTTGTATTTGTAGTTTCTCAAAAAATACCATACCTGTATCCTAAAAGAAGTAATAAGTAGCTGCATGTAAGATAGGACATAATAAAGGAGAAAGAAAATTGCACACTAACTTGGCAGCTGACATCCATTCCAGCCTCTAGAAGCACCTGTACAACAGCTTTGTGGCCATTACGTGCAGCAAGATGCAAAGGTGTATGTTTTCTAGTGTTGCAGCTCATCAGATTTGGATAGGCTTTGATGATCATCTTTACTACCCGTAGACGCCCATAAAGTGCTGCCAGATCCAAAGGAGTTTCTAATTTGTTGTTTCTTATTGTTGGGTCTGCTAGCTCTTCCAGTAGAACAGCAACTACTTCTGAATGTCCATACTGAGCTGCACAATGCAACGGTGTTTCGTTTTCATTGTTCTGTTAAAAAAGAAAATCTTAAGAAGTTCATGTATGTTAACTCTGCATCAACAAACTGCATCTAAAAAATCATTGTGACTACAAAGTTTGCAATATGATGCACTTTAAAGTCTTAAAATGAATTTACTAATGTTTTACTAATAAAAGGAGAATGTCGAACTTTGTCTAACCTGTCATCTTCAGACAATTCAGCTGCCCTCCCCCCCGCCCCCCCCATACCCTAACTTAATAGTCTGCACTGCTAGAATCAGTGCATTTATAGAAAAGCAAACTTTGGTATCATAATAAAGGAAGTACAGAGAAAAATTGTAAAAGTGAAAAATGTTTTAGCATTACACTGCTTTGGCATATCACTATAAGCATTTGATAAAGCAGAAGTAGGCAACCTTTTCTACCTGCTTACCAGAACAACCCACCCTGGGTCAGAAGAAGACAGGCTATTAGGAATACAGGGAGAGCACCCACAGCACAGCTAAAGTCCCTCATCGCCAAATCCCATTGAAGCCTCCTGGCCATGGACAAATGGTATAGGGTGCTGACCCTTTTGCTAAAGACCAACTTGTCCACTTGCTAAAGACTAACAATTACTATTTGTGATTAGACCTGTAGAAAGCAAAATGACCACTTTACATTTCAAAAATACACTATCTAGTATATTGTCTGTCTTTTCAGTGTTGCGAATTACTGTTTGTATGTGTGTCTCAAGTCATAGGAAACCTTTGTGTGCTGTGGAATGTTTGTCATTTTACAGCCTATTTTCCTACATCATTACCACATTTACATATGAAAATCTGAAATTTGTGCATAAAATGGCCAATTCTATTAATCTACCTCAGGAATGTCAAACTCACTTGAGAACCCAGGCCAGATCTGAACTAAGGTGCTCCTAGTGGGCTGGATCCAACCTGGGGCATGAGGTCTACTGCAATGGCTACCATGGCAGTGGCATGGGATCAGGTGGGGACAGAAGTTCAGGGCACGCTAGGGGCAGGGACAGTGCAGGATCTGGCAGTGACAGGACAGGGCAGTGGTGGTCCTGGGTATGGTGGCAGCTAGAGTAAGGACAGTGCAGGTTCCTGTGGAAGGCGTAGTGTCCAGCAGTGGTTGAAGTCCAGGGCTAGACAGGGAGGGGGCAGAGGCAGAGACAGCAGGAGAGCAGTCTGGTGGCAGTGAGCCAAGCTCTCCACTGATGGCCATGTCCAACAGGGCCAAAGGGTTGAACTTCTGGTACCCACCAGTAGCCCCATAGCTGGAGAGAGAGGCTCTGAGGGCCAAATCTAGTGCACAGCCCATGTTAGACACCCCTGATCTACCTTATTTGCAATGCCAGTAGTTTTATGAAAAAATAAATATCAAATAATATTCATATTTATATGACCACTTTAAAAAATGTGAGCTCAAAAAAATCTTGTAAAATTTCAGAAGATCAATCTAAATTTTTAAATGAGATATAGCTATTCACTATATCATTAATTACGAGGATGGGCTGAAAACTACCTCTGTTTAAATGAAAAATGCATGCCTGAATTTTTTACATAAGATATTAATAGAAAATTAGATTAAAACACTGGTTTTTATATAAGAAATTCTGTAAACCTGAACAAAACTTTATTTCTGCAACAAATACTATCATTTTTGCCAAACCCTGGCCCAGATCCTAGTCTACCTGAGATACCCAAGTTTACACAGTCATTTGACCAAATAATATTCATGCTATTTCAGAATCTGAACAACAAGTGGAACCGTGGTCATATTATTAGGAAAAAGTATAGAAGAGAGATACTTAACCTATGGCCCACAGGCCAGGTGTGGCCCACAAAGGCCATGTTAATGTCTAATTACCTGGAGCTCTGCACAGTCAGGTCTTATAAATGACAAGTCTTGTCACAGCTCATTATTTCCTATGCATCCTTTGGACCGTTTATAATTTTAAGGTTTGGGCCACTTGTAAAAAAAATGTGAACACAACTAGTATAAAAATATTGTACAGGCATGCAGGGAAAAAATCAGAAAGGTGAAGGCATGATTTAAGAGGCAACTGCCAAGGGATGTAAAAGGCAATATAAAGGGATTCCACAAATATGTCAAAAGTAAGAGTAAGACTAAAGAAACCATTGCAGAAGACAATCTAGTTATACATGATGCAGGTTGAAGTATTTAATTCTTTTATTACTTCATTCTTTATAAATTAGGGGCAGCTGCCAGTTAAACAGCTTAGAATAGTGGCAGAACAGGTTAGGGATTACTTAAAGAAGCTAGATGCTTTCAAATTAAAAGATGTGCATGGGATATACCGTAGGGTAGTGAAGAAATTGGCTGAGGTAATTTCAGAGCCATTGGTTATCCTCTTTGAGAACTTGTTGAAGTTGGATGAGGTCCAGAACCTCAAATAAAGGCAAATAAAGGACTGTCTTTAGAGAAGGAAGAGGATCCCAGGAATTACAGACCGGTTAGTGTGAACACAGTAGCCTGATACAACACAGACCTAACACCGTAACCTGGCACAGGTAAAGCTTGGGATCCATTGCAGCTAATGTCCTGCTTCAACAAAATGTTGTCAAGAGGTCCTGGATAGATGGCCATGCTACCTGCTTCAAAGGAAGGCAAAATCCCTGACTGTCCATATCAATCTGACCATGAGGTAAAAGTTCTTTCTGACCCCAAATATGATGATTGGTTTAACTCCAAGCAGAGGGGCAAGACCCTCTAGCCAGGAACCTCTGGCTTTGTTTCTAGCAGGAGAATTGGCATACCCCAGTTAAAGTCCCCAGACTTAGCTGTAGCCAACAACCAATGCCTCTGGGGAGGCTTAAAAACATATAGCAGAAAAAAAGGGAGGAGGCAGGAGTAATCAACAAAGCCTAGAAGCATGGGAAATACTCACAGGACAAAATAGGTATAGCTACACCTAGATCATCCCTAACCAATGACTGTCCAGCCTCTTTCTGAACACCTCCAATGATAGAGAGTCCACAACTTCCCTAGGCAGTCTATTCTACTGCTTCACTATTCTCACAGTGAAGAGGTTTTTCTGGATATCCAATCTAAATTTACTCTGCTGCAACTTCAAGCCATTAGTCTGTGTCTTCCTCTACATAGCAGAAGACAAAAGGTGCTTTCCCTCTTCTTTATGGCAGCCCTTCAAGTATTTGAAGACTGAGATTATGTCCCTTCTTGAGTGCCTTTTCTGCAAGCTGAACATACTGAGCTCCTTCAGCCTCTCCTCATATGACATCTGCATCTTGGTTGCCTGCCTCTAGATCCTCTAACTTCTCCGCATTCTTTTTAAATGTGGAGCCCAGAACTACACACAGTTCTCCAGATAAGGCCTAACCAGTCCTGAGTAGAGACACACTATAACCTCCCATGACTTGCACCTAATGCTTCTGTTGATGCAGTCCAAAATCGCATTGACCTTTTGTGTGGTTGCATCACACTGCAGACACATATTGAGTCTGTAGTCAACCAAGACTCCCAACTCCTTTTCCATAGAGCTGCCGTCCAGCCAGGTGTCCCCCATTTTGTACTTGTATTTGTGATTATTTCTCTTGAGGTGTAGCACCTTGCAGCTTTCTGCATTGAACTTCAGGCTGTTAACTCTAGCCCATCTTTCTAATCTGTTGAAATCCTTCTGAATTACGCTTACATCCTCCATGTTCATTCTTTAACCAGGAGTTGGGTCTAGGCAAGGCAGCTATTACCAGGGCTGGGAGAGTGGGTGAGGGATATGTGCACGTGGCAGAACCTCCCATGCAGTAGGGGGCAGTAGGGATTGCCCCCCACCTGGCAGCAGCTGGTGAGTGCAGGGTTTTTTTTATTTTTATTAAAGCATCGGGTTGCTGGGGCTAGGCAGGGCAGCCATTGATGGGGTGAGAGAGTGGGCAGGGGTCAGAAAAGCACTCAGAGAGGCTGAGGGAGCAGGCAGGGGATGGAGCTAAGTAGGGGTCCCCCCATGGTCCCTTCTCCCATCCTCCAACTCCCCCTCTCCCCCTACTTACTGACACAGAGTCTAGGTCCAACTCCCTGCAGCAGCAAATGGGGACTGCCCAAACTGCCAAAGCTCTCCAAATCTTTTCTGAATCAATTCAGAGAGCTTCAAATCAATTCAGACCTTTTTATTGGTCTCAATTCAATTCGGATTCAGAGATTCAGCTGCTGAAACAGGTTGAATCGCCTCTGAATCAAATCAGCACCCAAAGTTTCTCACAGCCCTAGTTACCATGCCTATTAGCTACTTGAATCAGATGAAATCTACCCTTTGGGAATCTAGCATCCTAATTTTGTTGACCTCATGCTTTGTCTCAGAATTTGGAATTCAAATGTATTATGATTGCTTCCTCCCTAGTTACCCATCACCTTCACATCCTCCACCAGTTCTTTCCTGTTAGTCAGACAGGATCCAAGAGAGATGGTCCCTTAGTTGTATACTACACTTTCTGGAAGACAAAATTGTGCTCCACACAGGTTTCAAACTACCTTGACATTTTATGTTTGTCTGCATTATTCTTCCAGTGGGTATTTGGAAACTTGAAGTTTCCTATCAATACCATCCCATACATAGCTTTTGCATAAATCTGTCACCTGCTTAAAGAGTGCTTCATCTACCTCCTCTTCCTGATTAGGTAGCCTATAATAAATCCCCACCATTATATCAGTGCATCGTCTTTTACCCAAAGGCACTCTGTGTTGCCATCTTCCTGAACTGGAGAATAAGTGTGTATGTTTTTGACGTACAAAGCAATACCACTGCCTCTTCTCCCAACCCTGTCCTTCTGAAACAGAGTATAACCTTCAGTGTTCACATTTCACTCATAAGACCTGTCCCACCAGGTCTCAGTGATACCAATCAGATTGCAGTTCTTTTCACAGGCTGCAGCTTCCAACTCATCTAGTTTATTTCCATAAATTTTGCATTTGTATACATGCATTGCATGTTTTTACATTTTGACATCCTCACTTCCTTTTGTCCCACTTGTTGCAGTTCTGTAGCTCTGTGGCCT